GGCTGCCTCAGACAGCTACTTTCCATTAGGGCTAGCCACAAGTGACAGAAAGAGAGGAGGCAGCATTAATCAGAGGAACTAGATAAGGCTCAAGAGAGGTGGGCACCAGCCCAGAAATAGCGGAATCCACATCATCGCCAGACAGGAGGCGGTGTCACAATTCTTGTAGTCATATGAATTTCTCATGAGTCATTTGTCCCAGAAGAATTGCAGAAGCAAATGGACCTGACCAGCTTTGAAGACAAGATGCAGACCAGGAAGCCCCATCACGAGACTAGGGCAACATTCTAGCGAGTGGTCTTGGATGGCACACCCAGAAAGACTCCCCCACTCCTCTGTCATCTTCCCTTTAGCTCCCACACCCCCTTCCCTTGAAGACCTGAGCCCTACTCCATTCCAGGCACCGCTTATCATCCTGTTCTAGGGGCTTGCTCTGTATTTCTTCAGATAATCAGAAAGCAAAATGCTAACAGAACTGAGAGCTCAAAGATTAATTACTATTTAATGGGCAGATTTCTTATCTCTGGATAAATCTCCAGTTAAGAGCCCAGAGGACAGGCACGAAGAACAGATAACCCCTGAACTGATGAGGACATGGGATACCATGTAAATTAACGCTCATCTCATACAGAGGACTGCCTTAGTTTTCCCCAGAAGGCCAGTCGTAATGATGACAAGACTTGGGATGGCAATGAAAATGGGGGAAACCACATTCCACAATTTTAAAACTGTTAAACTACATTGGTGTTTGACTTTGGGAAACTCCTAGTGGGTTTTAGAATACTCTCTAGCTCACAGACATCTTCACTGCAACCAGACCCCCTCCACAACCTCAGTCATGGCTGAAAAACAGTGGCATGCCTACAGGGGTGAAAAAAGCTTCTCTTATGTTCTCCTTGTGTATCTTGGGCATGGAAATGAACAGGTGTGTGTCCTTAGGTTCCTTAGAAATGCTAACTTTGTTTGGGTGAAGAGATATACCAGAATGCTGCCTTAAGGGATGTGTGTATGACCAAAACTTGCCCAGTTAGGATGAAACTATAATAAGCTTTTTCATATGGGCCTCTGGAATCTCCCTGAATCTTTTTTCTTGGGTTCATCTCAGCCCTGAGATCCCAGCATGCTGCTGTAAAGGATGCGTCCATGACCAAGTCTCTGAGCAGATTCCCAGACCGATGGACACTCATGACCAGGTGTCCTTGCAGATTTGTGTCTAAGGCATGGGTACTATTCTTTTAGCTACAGCTTAATTCCCTTCTGGAATTAAGACATATCTTGTCTGTGTGAGTGGCAGGGCGGACCATATGTAACCAGAAAAAGGACGACTACCCTTGTCAGCTTGAAATATACCAGACACTTCTCTTTACCCCGATTCCCAGCTGGGACTCCACATAGCACACAGATGCAGAGGAGAGAAGCCAACTGTATTGAGATGGGTTAATATTTTAGAAGAAAAGGCAATTTGCCTGCTTATTTGTTTTTACCAGAGGGAGAACTCAGATAAGAGTGCAGTATCCTTTGGAGGAAGATGAACGATGCTTTCCTCCCCAATTCTCAAGTATCAAAATGAGGGGGGAACTAGACAACAATCCCTAAGCAGTAAAGAATGAAAACTTGATGAGGTAGTCCTACCCAACAGTCAGAAGACCACAGCGAGAGGCATCAGTGCCTGAAGTATATTTCTGTGATGGCAACAATGTCATGAAAAAGAAAATCCTTGCTGAATGACAAGAGTAATGAGTTCTCTCCACCCCTATGATACATGTTGTGAAACTAAGAGACATTGCCTTGACATGCATTGAGACCCTGGGATAAATATATTCAAAAACTCCAAGGAAAGTATAGCATTGCAGGTAGAAATCTCTTTTATCACAAAAGGAAAGCTGGAGACGGTCACGGGCATCCCAAAATAATTCTTTACTTTGTGGTAGCAGGTCTCTCTTGTGTATCTACATGGTGATTTGCTTGACACATAACCTTCTCAGGAGGTTACCATATTATACATAAAACAAGATGCTACCTATTTGTTTTCTGGGAAATATGCCACAGATAAATGCAAGGTTACACAGTGATATTGAGGTGAAACACAACCATCATATCTGAGATGTGGTCCAGAGACATCCTGCTTCTTGCTAATAGCATCCTAAGACTGGATGAGGTCAGTCTGTGGATTACATTTACAAAGGCAGACAGGAAATTTAGGATTATCTTCAAACTCAACTCTTGACTCAACCCTGGTCAAAAAACCTCTGTTGAGTCTCAGCACTCTGCATGCATTCTCCCCACAGACACCATGCAGGGCTCCTCCTTCCAATGTGCGTGAGCCCCAGGAACTTTGACTCACTGAATTTAAGCCTCCACCTCAGCAGAGGAGCAAAGCCACACAGGAAGATTTGCTCTCATGCCCCGAAACCTGCCCGTGCCCATCCCCATTTCCAATGACAACACACAAAAAAGCAGCAGAAGTTGCTGTGCCTTCATGCGCAGTCAGCAAAGACATGGACACATCTGCTGCTTCTGATCCAGCCATGCAAATCAGCCCACACGTGGGACATTCATGTCACCCAGTGAGTCCTTTTCACACTTCCACTTCCTGCTACTGGTCTCTATGGAAAGATGCTCAGGCTAACTGATAAAGGCAGAATTTCAGATATATTTCAACCTGGATTAACCCTGGCTCTGCTATTTTCTAGTTCTGAGTTTAAACATCAGCTTTTTCATCCCCAAAGTGGAACTATAATAATGTCTTCAATACAGCAGCATAAATTAAATAAGTTAACTTACTAAAAATTCCATCAAAGTGCCTGGCTAGAGAAGGTATTCAGCAGATGTAAGCTGCCCTTCCATTACCCCACAGAAAATGGGAGAAGGAAAGGCCTTAAGATGCCCTGAATGGCCAGCACAAGTCAGAGATTAAGGGACTTTCTGCAAAGATGTTCCCCAAATAGATGAATCCACAGCCATATTCACTTTCTGGTACCATCTCAGTGATGTCAGTGGGAGATAAGCCTGTGCTGACCATCAAGCTGACAAGGTACGCTTCCAATGTTACGGCCATCTGGTTTTCTCTCTTTGCTTTCTGTCATGAAGTTTGTGAGTATCTCTTTATTTGGACTCAGAATTTTCAGATATGACTTCATCCATGCAGTAAGTTTTAGCTGAACCACAAAAGCCCTTTTTGGAGGAACTAAAGAAACTAAAATATATCATATTCTTTAAGCAATGCAATTGCTTTGACCTCCGTACCTGAACTGCACACACACACAGCACAACCACCTCCACCGACGCTGCCACTGCTACTCCCTCCAAGCACTTCTTTTTCTCCTGTCTGCTTTACTTCTCTCTTAAGAACCGATCGCTCTTAAATTTACTACATGTTTTACTTTATCTTTATTTTTCATCATCCTCAGTAAGAGCAGGGCAGCGACTTTTGCCTGTTCTATTCATCGTTATATGGCTGGCACCAACAATAACTCAGCATGCATGGATAAAATGACTCTGCCCCAATTTACCAAGAAAGGTCTACATTATGCCTGTGGCTCCTATTTAATTATCAATCGCGTCCCTTTTCATTCTCGGAACTGTCCAACTTTACACAATCAAACACATACAGTTGATTAATATTAAATATTTGTTGAAGTTAATTAATACATTTGACCAACTTGATATTTTAATGCAACCTGTCAGTTCCTAAAACCAAGAGTTTGAACCTGATGTGACTAAAATACATACGATATTTTAAAAGCGTGAGAACACATTGATTATTTTTCCATAATGGTCCTGCTTGCAAAATTCTCACAGGGCTGCCCAGCATGTTTGTTCTGATATACCCTAGCTATACACAATTGTTAGTACTGAAAATCTTAAAGTTTCATGCTGTTATCAGGAGGTGTGTCAAGATGAGAAACGTATAAAACTGATCCTGAACGAACCCGGGAGGCTATGCTTAATTTACCTCCCTAAGCAAATGATGAGAGAAATGAATGAAATTGTAAAAGCCTTCCTTCCCATGCACCTGCCCATAAGACTGCAGGGTCACGATAATACCGTATATTAGAAACCAGAAGCTTCTCGCTTCAAAACTGACTTAACTACCACACGCCCCATCAGTGTTTGGACACAGCCTCTGGCCTCTGGAAAGCCCCTCAAGATGGCAAGTAGGGCTGGTGTCTTCTTAGCCTAGGCGGGATCTTTAAGGCTGAGTAGGTGAACTTTTTGCTTCTGTTTTCCCAAGTGGACCATTCCCCAGACAGAAAGAAAAAGCACCCAAGCAAAAAGTGGAAGGAAGCCATCCAATGCAGTCTGATGATCATGGCAAGACAGATGGAACTTCGACTGACTCTGCAGCATGCCCATCTCCCTGCCAGAAATTACCATAGAAATTAAAACAGGGAGGGCAAAAGCCTCCCTGCAAGTGCTGGGGAATCTGACTCAGTCACAGAGGATCTGTAATGACCATCCTGAGCATCAAGTCTGTTAGACCACGCTTCACCTGAGGTCAACGGGGAGACCTCCGGTTCTCAGACCCTCTAGTCTGTGCACTTAGGGCATGCTTATTTCCTTACAGGACTCTCCTGTGTAGTGTAGGCACCCAGTGTGTACGCAAGACTCAAGGTCACACCTCCTGAAATGCAAGAAAGCAGCCAAACCACCGTCCATGCAGAGCCTCCAGCCTCCACCGCACGCACAGCCCTGGACAGAAACCCTGGCAGCCATGTGAACTCCGGCAGCTCTCCCGGCTGTGCACCTAATTTTAGCAGATTATGGCCCACCCCCCCGCAACCATGCTGCCTCCCCATGAGACACCCCAAGCACATCCATGGCTTTGGCAGGAAACTTCCATGGAAGTTAAATGATGCCCCACAGTGGGAGGCAAGGAAAGAGAGGTTGGGAGCAGGCCCTGGCCCATGGAAGTGCCTCTCCAAAGCCTGCAAGCTGTCAGTCTGTGTGTGGACTGCCCTGCCCAGCCCCGTGGCCCCAGAAATGAAATCCAGACTCACTGTGGAAGCTGCCGTTGCTGCCAGCCTCTGCCGCTGCCACGCCACGCTGAACGGGCCCTTCTGGTATGGCCCTTCCTGACAGTGAATGAGGGAGAGAGCAGGGAGGGGGAGAGAGAAGAAAAGGGATGAAGCGACAGGAAGGAAGCATGGGAGGGTGAAAGAGGGGGGATGAGGAAAGCGGGGATCTTTCACTGAATGGCGTGTCTCTCCTGGGCACGGCCTCAAACTCTTGTCCTGCATCACTAGGACGACGGCGGAAGAGCGCAGCAACCCACCTTCAAGACCTTCACTCTGGAGTCTGCCCAGAAACACACTCAGGGCTCAGCCAGCCCATCATCATGCCACCCCCAGCACATGACACCCGGCTGTCTTCCTCTGTGGGCCACCAAGACACAATGGGCTTCCCTTCACAGGCTCGGTTCTACTCCCAGCAGGAGCCTCCCAGCCAGCCTACCGCTTGGTGAGGAAGTAGGTTCTAGCCAGAATCTTCAACCCCTTAGGTCAAAGAAATAGCATGCTCTCCAAAGCTTCTGAGAGAAGAGTTGTTCTTACTGTGTCCAGCAGAAAATCCCTGAATTCTCCACTGCCTTTAGGGCTTCCCAGAATCCCTCCTTTGCCTTTCTGATTTGGAAAGGTTAGCTTGCTGAATGTCACTGGCATGGGGCCTCAGCCCTTCTCCTCCTGGCTGTCCACAGAGTTACCACTTGTGTTCTCCATCACCACTCAGGAAAAAAGCCCCTAAGTGAAGCCTTTCCCTTGAACAGTCTCTCGAGAAATGAGAGGAGGTGGTGTATGAGGACAGACTCACAGTAACTTAACAATGGCATTTCTCAAGGGTTTCAAGGTCAAGGGCTGTATGCAAGAGACACAGTCCCTGCTCTCAATCAAGTCAGAGACAGAGAGCAGAACTGAAATGACCTGGAAAAGAGGCAGGTTCATGAAGCAACACACACCTGTGTATAAACCCATAGGATGAGGCTGAAAAGACCATCCAATGGGAACAATGAAATGAGGATCACTGGGTGCTGATGGCAGGGAGGGACAGACAGAGAGAAAGAACGAGGAGAGGGGTGAAGTAAAGGACGGATGGGCAGTTTGGAAGAGGAGGTGTGATGGGCTGAACTGTGTGCCCTCAACACAAGATCGTTATGGGGAAGCCCTAACCCCAAGTTTTCAGAATATGACTATATCTGGAGAGAGATTCTTAAAAGAGGTAATTAAGGTTCAATGGGGTCTGTAGGGTAGACCCTAACCCAATAGGACTGATGTCCTTATAAAAAGAGACTAGGACACAAACCACACAGATGAGTGACCACGTGGGGACACAGTGAGCAGGCAGCCATCTGCAAGACACAGAGCGAGGCCTCAGAACAAACAAATCCTGCTGGCACCTTGATCTTGAACTTCCAGCCTCCAGAACAGTGAGAAAATCAGATTCTGTTGTTGAAGCCCCCAGTCTGTGGAGCACTGCTACGGCAGCCGGAGCAAATGAACACAGAAGGCCTCATGCAAAGCTGGAAATGAGCAAGTGGCACTTGGCAGCGGGGGCAGACTGGCTGGGGTGGGGGCAGACTGGCTGGGGTGGGGGCAGTCTGGCTGGGGTGGGGGCAGACTGGCTGGGGTGGAGCCAAGGGAGCTTCTTGTGGAGGATCAGGAAGGAGACTGGCAGGGGCTCGAGGGCCTAGCAGGCAAGGGCAAGAGATTTATATTTTGGAGAAATGAAGATTCACTCACTCAAGGCTCCAAAGAAACAGGAGGGATGAGGAAGTCTGAGGAGCCCTGCGGGAAGAGCTCTAAGCCTGAAAGTAGGTGCGCAGATCCAGGTGCTGGACTGACCAGGCATGGGCCAGGGCAGCTCCTGCCAACAGGCAGAGAAAAAGTGGCACTGAGGTGCTCTAAGGAAAGGCACAGCAGGTTTGCGATAGACAGGCTCAGCAACGACTTCCCTTTGGGGAAGCTCCCAGGAGAGTTTCCAGGGATGTCAGCGGTTGCCGAGGTGCCAGCACTCGGAGAAGCAGGAGGCAGCCATGGCCAGTTTTATTTAAAACATGCCATGTTTCAATCTCCAGTGAACTCTCCAGGGGGGGCTTAGAGAAGAAGTGGAGGCTGCAAATGTAAATTTCAAACAGATCCTGTGTAAAAGTAAAAAGGGGTTATAACCATGTGAGCGCATGAGGTATGCAAAACATATGTCTAAAATAGCAGCACCCAAACTTAAAATGAGAGGAAGGAGAGAAACCAATGGAATTGGGAAAAAATGACCAGAAATGGTTACAGCTTATGGAACAAGGCATTACTGAGGCATTCAACAAGAAGATGATGCAGCATTCACAGCTGCAGGGAGTGGAGGTGAAAGGGGGAAATATAAATAAAGTCATTCAATAATAGTTCAGGAAGGGTTAGACTTGAAGTAAGACATTTAAATTAGGTCACGAGAGATAATTAGTGACCCCCAAACTGCAGATTCAATTCAGTGGTAAGATCAGAAGCCCAAAAATTAAGACAGAAGATGTAAAGTACTTATTTCGGTGTTCGGGCGGTCAAATGAAGACTTTTCTTTAATGTAGGATGGATTGTGGATTTTTAGAGTTGAAAGGAGGGAGAGAGCCTTCGAGAAAGCCTTCAGAGCAAGATAAACACAGTCACAGGGAGAGACAAGAGACAGGGCAGGTGACAGGTATTGAGGTGTGAGCGGAGTGGGAAAGGATTTAGTCTGCGAATGTGTAGATATGCAGAGGGTGAATTTGGCCTAATCTTTCATAGCATCACAGAGATATACACTGGACACAGTTCCTTGCACATACATAATAGTAAGTCCTTAAATTGTTATACCACTTTGCACTTATTTAAGCAATCTCTATCGCAGAGTTGGCTTTTAAGATCTCAGAATTAGAGAGAAGCAAAACTTTGAGATCATCTACTGAAATCTCATGGCCAGCAAAGGCACCTCTATGGCATCTGCATGTGGTTCTATGGGTTTTCTAGAAACCCACTGGGGATGGAGAACCCACTCTCTTGTAGGATGGTCTGTTTCATTTTCACACAATATGGGTAACTTCCTGCAGCGCTGTGCTTCACCGCCTTTGAGAGTCAACTATCCCTAGGCTTTTCCAAGCTTGTCACCCCCGTGGGTGAGGGATCGTGTTGCAGAGCCCATTCATTGCACCCAAATAATGGAGGACAGCCCCTCTATACATCCCTGTACTGAAAACTGGCTTTGTGATCTCTGATTGTTCCAAACTTTATGGTCCTTGATCATCATCCAGATCAGTCATTCATGGAGAAGACCACCTGTCTTCTTGTTTATGTCATTTAATGAACATTTATGAAATGTCTACCATATATCATGTATGGTCCTAGGTCCAAGGGTTACATAATCAGTGAAATAAGGCATGAATACTGCCCTTAAAGAACTTCTAAGCTACTGTGAATGAATATGTGTTAGCCAAACTTCTTGAGAATACATTTTCACAATAAACATTAGAACAATTACTTCTTGAAACACACTTCAAGGCGATAGGACGGTATTCTTCAGCTCTGAGCACCACCTCCCTTGCTGCTAATATTCCTTCCTCACCCTTTAGTTTCACTGAATCTGTGTTACATTTTTCAAACTACAGCCACCTCAAATCACGTTGCTGCTACTTGCTTTAAGATTATATTGGAGAGCCCCAAACCCCTAAAGTATCTTTGCTTGCTGTGGTGACTAGGCTTGGGTCATCCTGTTTGCCTCCTTTGCCTTGAATGGCCTTGCCACAAAAAAATGATTATTAGAAAAAAAATCATGGAACTCAATGATTATAAGCTCACACTTCTTCATAATCTCATGGAGACTGCGCTATACTGCTGTGCTCTTTAAACATTCTATTCACAAGTAAATTCTCATCCCTAGCAAAACCAGAACACCAAAACCAATTCCACCCCTCATTCATTATACAGTCTGGGGAATGACCGCTAATCTCTCTGAGCTTTAATTTACTTGTCTGTAAATAGAAAGAATCATGCCAGCCAGTTGACCTCACAGCACTTTGATGGTGACCAGAGAGGAATACTGAATTCACGAGATGGGAGGCTGATGCCCTTGTCTTCACTCTACCACTAACTAGGCGTGTGATCTTGAGGGACACCTGCTTGCCATCACTCTCTCTCTGTCTCTCTCTCTCTCTCTGGCTGGCATTCAATGTCTTCTTCTATCAAATAAGTGGGTTTGACAAGATGACCTCCAACTTCATTTCTAGTCAGGATTTCACAAGATTGCCAGTGTAGATGCTTACCCAAATTTCAACCAGACATGTATCAAGCTCTCTCACAGAATACTTACAAAACAGTTGGGTGCAGTAATAAAAATGCATTGACCATATCCAAAGAATGCTAATAATTGAATCAACATCTGCTTGGGAGCAGAACTGCAGCAGCAAACCCTGGTCTTGGGCTGTTTAACTTTTCAAAAAGTAAAAAAATATGCTTCAAGATACTGCTGGTACATTGATAAAAGTTGGCTCAGAGATGATGGCACAGAGCTGGCAGAGAAAGCTGTATCTAGAACACTGAACACCTTGGCAGGTAATAGGGAATCAAATCTATCCAGAAACAAGGCACCTTTGCTGTATACATACAAGTTTTTTTTTTTTTTTTTTTTTAAAGAGAGAGAGAGAGAGAGACAACAAAACAAAACAAAACAAAACAAAAAACAACTATTTGGTTGAAGTGTGAAGGAAAGGCCAGTAGAATTTGGGGATGCTAGTCCCATCTACATGATGGGTTAACTAGCCCCAGTAATGCAGATCCACCTGGCAATCTCTTCTCAGAATACAATACTTCAACACAGGTTCATAAGCTCACACCTATGTCATATTCGAATACCTCCACTTGTGCTAATCCAAGGTTAGAGTATACCTAGCAGGGTCCAGCAGAATCCCTGAATTGACAGCACCGCTTAGGATGACATGTGTCAGGGATAGAACAATAGAACAAATTGCCACCAATCGTCTTTTCTACTTTCTTGGCAGATGTCACCAGCTGATTACCACTTTGTTACTGACCCTAGATGCAGCCACCAAATTCTTCTCATCACT